CCGCTAATGGGTAAGCTACCCGATGGAACGGGAAGAATGACTATGGATACTCACCACCTCTTCCGTTGCAGCAAAAACGGCGGGAATCACGAGCGAGCGCACGCAGCTGTTGCTGAATGCCCTGCAGACACCGATCATGATGGCTGCGGCACTGTCTGGCCTGCGGTGGCAAGATCGGCTGGGAAGACGTAAACTGCTCATCGCATCCAGCACGGGGATGTCCCTTTCTGTCGCCGTTATCACAGCATGCACCGCACAGCAGGCGGGCAGACCGGTCGTTGGGGGTGTGGGCATCGCGTTCGTGTACGTCTTCCTCGTCGTCTTCGCCTTCGCTTGGACGCCTGCGCAGTCGCTCTACCCCACCGAGGTCCTCGCGTTCAATACGCGGGCGAAGGGTCTTGCATTCATGAACCTCCTCGTCAATATCGCGAGCGTCTTCAACACCTACGTGCCTCCAGTGGCGATCGCACGGGCGAGCTGGCGGTTCTACATTTTCTACATTCTGTGGGACGCACTTGGGGCCCTGGTGATTTACCTCACTTTCGTGGAGACCAAAGGGAGAAACCTGGAAGAGATCGATCATATTTTCGAGGCAGAGAATCCGAAGAAGGCGAGTCTACAGGCCCAGAGAAGGCTGAAGGGCATCGCGCGCACGTAGTTGGGAAGCTGATGGAAGGAGCCACCGGCGGCATTCATGGTCGCTTGTATACATATGTGGCATCGCCGTTCGGTATCTATATGAGAATCCCAGATCTGGCAGGGCAAGTGTATGATCAGTAGCCGTACCGTGTTTCGTAAATTGAGGATCTACGCGAAATGTGCCCAGAACGAAGGGTTGATTGATGCTAAAAACACAGTACTCATCGTAACGAGATGTATACAGACTGCTCAGATCCTTGTGGTTGTGACGTCCATCGAGTCATCAGAAAGTGCTGCCCTCCGGCGGCTGGGGAAGCTTGCGGTTGTTGAACGATGCCATTTCCCTGAAAGACGAGTAATGTTAGCATTTAGCGCAGACAAAGGGCAGCAGATTACCAACCTCCTGATCTCTACCAGCACAGTTTCGATACTGTGGTTCCTGTTCCAGTGCGCAAGTACTGGGAGCTTGTTCGGGTCGACCTTGCCGTCAACCTGGCTGACAAAGGGGAGGTTTACGCGAGAAATGAATTGGACGGTAGGGGGTTGGTCGGGATAGTTCTCGCCGCAAGTGATCTTGAGACTGTAGATACGGTTCTCGTGCACGGTCTGAGAGAGGCGTATTGTCAGTCATGCGACGCGTCACGATAGTTGCGATCGCAACAACCAGAGAAACGACAGTATACGCACATGTCCTGGGCCAATGATAGTGCCGTTCCAGTGGCTCATCATGATATCGTCCGAGTCCTCCAGACCGTAGGAGCACGAGCCATCGCCAATACCCTTCTCGCCCTTCTCGAGCTCCTCGAGCAAACGGAAATTGCGTGGTACTGTCTCTGCCGTCAAATAGCACTCCTGGTGCATCAATCAGGAGTACTCACCCTTGGCCATGAGGGTAGTCGTGAAGAAAGGTGAGGCTAGGATCGCGGAGCAGTGCAAGGCAGCGTTGCAGCAGCAAGCGTTAGTGGCGTCGCTTCCCAATCGAGCGAGCCGGCGTCTGCCGGACCGCCACCGCCTCGGGAGTAGTGACTTCGAATCCGTAGTCGCCGTCGAGCCCCGCTGCCATCCCTGCGCAGTCCCCCACGGTCATTCGCATTCATCACTCCCCTTTCTCTCCCGACCATACCACCAGCGAGCTGTGACACCTTGCAAGATATGTTCAGAGCAGGACAGCCGAATACATACGACGAGATCGTCGGTGAGTAGCATTGTATATAGCCGGAATTGTTGGCCGGGAGGTCGTTGACGTATTGACGCCTCACTCAGCCAAAACAACGGACGAGAATCTCACCGGCGAGAATTGGGAACTCATCTTGAACCTATGCGATAAAGTCCAGGAGGAGGGCGAGCAAGGGTAAGCTCGCGCATACTACCGATGCCTTGCTATATGACCTGACCCCTCAATCATAGTGCTCGGAACGTTCTTGCAGCAGCAATCAAGCGGTTAGCGCATCGCAACCCCAACGTTCAGCTGTATACCCTCACGTTGGTCGAAGCGCTTTCCAAGAACTGCGGTGTTGAAGTACATCGCGAGATTGCCTCGCGAGCATTCACTCAGTGTCTGGAGAAGCTGGTGACTGATCGGGTAAGGCGATAATGCGTAAATCCTCTTATGACGCCCACGCTAAGTGTTGGATGACGCAGACTACTCATGACAAAGTACGGAAGCGCGTACTTAACCTGGTGGCAGTATGGACGGCGGAGTTTGAGAAAGACCCCACATTGGGGCTAATGGAGGAGTGCTACGAGAATCTGAAGAGCAGAGGTGCTGCATATCCGCTCATTCTAGTGTGCACCTCGCTAATCATCCTTTGCCAATGCCAGGTTACAAGTTTGAGACGCCGGATGAGCCTCCTCCGCCTGATGTTGACGATGAAGTACGTCGTCGAGAAGAAGAGGAGCTCCAGCGCGCTCTGGAGATATCAATGCAAGATAAGGGCGGTAGATCTCAGTGGGAGGCCTATTCGCTGGCTTCATCCAGCGGGGCAGGTGCTTCTGGAGCTGGCAGTTCAAGGCAGGCATCCTCGTCCACCTCTGGTCCCTCTGGATCGTCCTCCCGCCCTGCCCCAAGTTCCAGCAACCAGACTCCGACATACGGCGGATACGTCCCTTCAGCTGCTACGCCCGCGGTCTCCGCAATGACGCAGCCATCATACGCTGCAGCAACGCCCGCCAATGCCCCTCCTGTCAGCAGCTCTCCGGTCTCCGTGCACTCTCAGCAAGAGAACATACCCATCGTCACACGTGTGCGAGCCCTTCACACGTTCACACCCACTGAGCCTGGAGAGCTTGCATTCGAGAAGGGAGATATCATCAAGGTCGTCGATCGCAACTACAAGGACTGGTGGCGGGGGCAGCTCAAGGGCCGAACGGGTATCTTCCCTGTAAACTACGTGGTACGTACTCACCTACCCTTTATCCCGCTTGATGCTGAGAACTGTACCTCCAGGAACCTCTGCCAGAGCCTACGGCAGCGGAGATTGCACGTGAAGCGGAGCAAGAGGCACAGGTCTTCGCACAGGCAGCCAACGTGGACAGATTGTTGACAATGCTGCGTAACATGGATCCTGCAAGGGACAACTTGGCAGATAATGAGGAGATACAGGTTTGTACTCTTGCGCTATGCATGCACTGACTGTGCTGATAGAGGTCTTCAGGAGCTGTACCGGTCTTGCATGACCCTGCGCCCGAAGATCGTCAAGCTGATCGACAAGTACAGCCAGAAGCGAGGTGCGTATATCAGGAGTGTCTCTGTGAACGTTTCTCATTTGTCATCTACAGCTGACCTTGTGTCCATGAATGAGACTTTCGTGAAAGCGAGAACTATTTTCGATCGGATGATGGAGGAATCACTCGCGCGCCACACAGGAGGTAAGTCTACCCGTCTCACGAGCGAATTGGCGGTGTACTGACACCGCTATCCCAGTTTACGATGGTCGCCCCAGCTACGTCCAGACCCCAAGCCAACCCTACATTGCTCGTCCGGATTCGCGGGGACGGCAAGAATTCTATCCTCCCGGGGGACCTCCAGTCGCTCCCGGCGCGCCGCAGGCCTACGGATGGAACCCTGCTGTGTATGACCAGCCCGGATACAACGCATACCCTGCTCCTCCTGCCGCCTACAGTGGCCCTGCTCCCGTTGCGGAAAGCCCTTACCCTCCGCCAGCCCAAGGTCATCCGCACCCACCTGCCGCTCCGGCGCAGCCATACCCGGATCCGAACGCGTACGCGGGTCGTCCTCAGTCTGTTTACGCGCCGCCCCCGCAAACATACGGTGCCCAGCCGCCTTATGCGCCCGGTCCTGAGCCGCAGGGCTACCCTGTTAGTCCGGTCATGCAAGCACAACAACCACAGCCTGGCCCTCAGTTCGGCCAGAAACCTGTTGAAGCCCAGCACCAGCACCAGCACCAGCCTCAGACCCAATCCCCGATGCAGGTTCATGCTCAACCTCAACAGCAGCCGCAGCAGCCATTCGTGCAGCAACAACCAGCCATGCAACCGGATTCTCAGGCTCCGCTCCCGTCACCTCAGCCTCACGCTCAGACGCAGCCGGAAACTCAACCTCAGCTCCAGCCGCAGACTCAGACACAGCCGCAACCTCAATCCCAGCCTCAGCCTCAGCCTCAGCAGGAACCGTCGCCCAACCCCTCCCAGGGCCGTAGCGGCCCTCCGTACGTGTACGACCCGAACGGGACTTACCCCGACCCCAATGTCCAAGCATGGGCACAGTACTACGCGCATGGAGGAACAGACCCTACCGGTGCGGTGTACTTCATCTCCGTTCCCGGCGTCAAGGAGGGCCCTCAGCCGGTCTCGCGCACGCAATCCACCGATTCTGCCAACCAAGAGGGCGCACCTTCAGAACAGACAGGTCAAGTCGCCCCGCTGCATATCAACAAGGCACAAGTTGTGGCAGAGGGCCAGCAGGGTGCCCAGCAGCCTCAAGCCGGAATGTACGGAGCGTCGCCCTACGCGCCAGCGGCTGGAGACGGTTCACCCGTTGTAGGCCAGCAATACTACGGCTTGACGAACCAGTTTGCGGGGATGGACATCAACGCGGATGGGAGGCAGAATGGGCCGTCCGGACCGCAAGGAGTAGGCGCCCCTGCGTGAGGAGGATGCGGAGTTCGACATGGCGGTAGGACAGGATGGCATGCGGACATGGATGTAGTTATGATGTTGAAGCCTTCCTACGTATCTATGTAGTTTGAATCAAGACTCACACCCATGCGATTTGCACAAGTAAGGATGCTCAGCACAATTGTGATGAGAATTGGAGCGTAGCATTGTAGATGGTCTACCGTCATTGCTGTTGTCCGTCGATAGATGTGGCCTAGAGCGGAGCACACCGAGGCAAAAAGGTGTGCCCGGAGTGAGGATCGAACTCACGACCTCAGGATTGCCCACCGCTGGGGTGGTCATACTTGACATATGAGACCTGCGCTCTAACCAACTGAGCCATCCAGGCTTACAATTGTACTCTAATACCGCTATACAAGGCGTTAAAGGGTGACGCCTAAATCGGATGTCGTCATGATTCCTGTTTCGCCTGAAGTCGTTGATTGCAGCGGCCATTGCCTTCAGCCACTTCTCTACTCCTTCCTCTCTCTCGTTCACCCCTTTGTTCAGGCGAAACTTACTCTGGGAAAGCTGCTAGAGACTGCATGCGCGTAGCCGTCAGGTTTTGATCAAACAGGCGCCACTACATATTCGATAGCGACAAGTGAACGCACTGTGGCCTCGTGTATAGTCCATCGTCCCTGTGAAGTCATACCTCCGCACTCCCCTCCCCACCACTGCGACGCGGTCAACACCCCCTCCTCCCCGTGCCCTTGTTTCCCTACTTCTCCCACAAAGCCGACATGGCACCACAAGTCGATCTAGTTCTCATATTCCGCTCCTCTCCGGGGAAGGTCCTCTCTAAACCTCAAGCTCGCGAGAACGCACGACAAGCAGCAGCTCAGTACACGCGCCTTCTCGAGGTTCTCAAGAACGGCCGCTTACATGCCGTGGGGAAGCGTGGTGAGCAGGAGGGCCAACTCCTCGTTCTGGTTCATTGCCCAGAGAGCACTCTCACGCGCCTTGTACAACGAGAACGGTATGTGCAATGCAGCAGTGACAATCAGTGTTGGGGCCCTAATTTCTCTCTTATGGCCGCAGATACTCCGACTTTCTGTGCGGGTTGCCCACTACAAACCCCACGGGTACAAGAGACCTCAGCACTGAGCCGCTGACGCCTGCCGATAGGCTGCGACTTGTGCATACCTATGTCACTTCTACGCCTGCCGACGGTGGCTTGGGTGTCGCACCCGGGTCTTCAAATTGGGACCGCGTGGAGTCTGTCATGGTCCTCCACGATCATGCCTTCAACGAATCTTGGATAAGGGCATGGACCACTCGTCAACTCGGCTTTGTCAAGTTTGATAAGATTCGCGAGCAGGTGCGTGTCTAGAACTGCCGCTGTACAGCTTCTCTTGTTCTAAACCCTGAGTAGTTCGGCGAAGCTGTGGCGCTGTACTTCCACTTCCTTTCGTTCTACACTAAGCATTTGCTGTTTATCTCCGCCGTCGGCGTCCTCTTCTACTTCTTCTCCTTGCCTTACTCGACGTGGTATTCCTCCATCCTCCTCCTGTGGTCAATAACATTCGTCGAGTGGTGGCGTATCAAGCAAAGAATATTGTCCGTTCGGTGGGGTACCAAGGGTTCGTTCCGCGTTGAAAAGCGCAGAGCGCAGTATGTTCCCCTGTCTTGGTGGAAGAAGGACCTGCGGATGCTGGCAAGCCTGCCGGTCATTCTCTTCTTTGCCTCTGTACTTGCCGTCATTCTCACAGCAATTTTCATATTCGAGGCATTCGTCACCCAGCTGTACACAGGACCAGGACACCGCTTCATAGTAAGCACCTTTCAAACCTCATTTGTCCGCGCTCTAACGATCAGTGCAGGGATTCAGTCCGACGGTCCTGTTTGTCGCCCTCGTGCCTAGGCTTCTCGCCATCTACCACTCATATGCGGTCCGCCTCACAAACTGGGAGAACCACGGGCACCAATCCACGCACGACGCGTCCCTGACGATCAAGACATTCAGCCTCTCCGCAATCGTTGCCTACCTCGGTATTGGACTCTCCGCGTTTGTCTACGTCCCTTTCGGCGAAGAAGTCATGGCCGCCGTACAACACTACCTGTTCTACCGCGATACGCCGTTCCACGCGACTGCTAGGACATGGTTGTCATCCGTCTACTCCGCCTTGCCGTCCAATGTCACTGCACCATTCAATGCTACCGCCAACGCCGAGAAAGCTGGATCGGCCGCCAATCGGACGTTCTGGGAGCGCGATACCGGTAGTGCGCGAGGGAAACTTAGTTCGACGCGTCTCCAAGACCAGATGTTTGCGTTCACCGTTACCAACCAAGTGATCAACACCTTCCTCGAAATCGGACTACCCTTCGTCACGCGTGCGGTGGCGTCGGTGCGCAGCGGCAAGGGCCTCTCGCTTGCCGCGCCAGCTGCCGGAGCAAACGGTGGCAACGGCAACGGGAAGAAGAAGCGCGTCATGTTTGAGGATCAGAGCGCAGAAGCGGAGGCTCAACGGCTGGCCGATCAGGAGGAAGAGCGCGAGTTCCTCGACCGAGTCAAGAGAGAAGTCGCCCTTCCGGACTACGACCTCTTCGCCGATTACAGCGAGATGGTCACCCAGTTCGGCTATGTCGCGCTATGGTCCACCATCTGGCCTCTTGCGCCGGGTAAGCATGTTCTGATTTCGTTCATGGGACTTTCTGACCTTCGATACCAGTTATGTCGCTCGTCAACAACTGGCTGGAGCTCCGCTCAGACGCCTTCAAGATCAGCGTTCACGTCCGTCGGCCGATTCCTACTCGGACCGACACCATTGGCCCATGGCTGGATACTCTTACGTTTTTGACCTGGCTCGGTGCGCTGACCAACTCTGCGCTCGTGTACCTCTTCCGCCCACGCGATCACTGCAAGCCTTTGGGCACGTCACTATCCCACTCGCATCACCACCTCAGCAAGCCCGATGCACCCGCGCAGCAATACCTCATGTCCGCGTTACTCATCGCCCTCGGAGCATCGCACGGATACATCCTCCTGCGCATGTTGATCCGACACACGCTCGAGCGCGTCCTGTGGCGGGGCAGCAAGGAGGAGCGAGAGGCCGAACACGTCGAGACAGTCGTGAAGGAGCAATATCTTCGGAGCCTTGGGGTGGCAGATGTGGTTAGTGCGGAGGAGAAGACGGCGCAGTCCCCCACGGAGGGCTCGCCGGAGGGCGAATTCTCGGCGTTCTGGAGTAGCGACGAGGGATTGGACGAGCTGAGCCGCGGGACGAAGGACGCGTGAATCTACTTTCTGATGGCGGTAGAGAGGCAGCGAGGTGGGCGCGGGGGCTGTGGTCTGCAGGCTGAATTGTGGAAGAGGATGAGATGCCGGAACCCGAAGGACTGTGGATCTGTTTACGTTAGTTCTGATGATGTGTATGGCCAATTTACGATGTGTTACGACGTTGCTACCTGCACCATGTTCCGATGTACCACAGTAGCAATGCGTTGCGTATCGTGCAGCAGTACTATCGTAGCGGGCAACACGTCGAGTAAGAAGTGAGACGAGACTGGATGAACTGCGAACGTCGGGGCGGAGGCGGATCAGCGGTCGTCGGGAATTGCCAAATACGCGCGCTCCGGGTCCATTTTGGCCAGGCACGCGGGAGCCGGAGAGTGGTTTTGCCATCGACGACCACGACGCCAGCGCGCGCGCCGTTGCCCACACTCGTTTGCACATTCGTTCCCTGCCTGACAACGGTCCTTTCCCCATCCATTTTCTGTCTTTTCCCTGCCTGTCTGCCCCGCTAGTCCTGCACGCGCGCGCGTCGCTGCTGAGTCTGTCCGAGTTCTCGCTGCTGCTGTCCTGCCGTCACCGCTGCGAGACCAAAAAAACACATCATTCTCGACGCCATCCGCCCCCGGGGTCGCCTTACCTTCCTACACGTGCTGATATATTTTCACGACACTTAACGCCTCGCTGCACGCTGCTCCGCGTTCTCGGCCTCGCCAGTGGGGTGTTCTTCGTTTTGCTGTAATTATGTGTGTACCCCTCCCCTTCCCTCGAGCCACGTCCGTCCGTCTCACGCATCCTCCAGGCCCAATTAGCCGCGGTTGGACCGTCTAGACGACTTCCACTCTGCCTGTGACTGCTGCGCTGTATTTCATTGTGAGTGTGTCTCCGTGCTCGCGTGCGGGCAGCCCAGACGTTGACCGCCCTCCCCACCCCCACAATCTCTGTCTGGCAGCATGTCGACCCAGTACGACCTCCCACGACCTGCTAGCCACCTCCCACCCATGGATGCTGCCCGCCGGCACATGTCCAGCAAGCCCACGTCCTACCGTTCCTCCCACATGGAGCAACACAGCACTCGCAGGGTGCCCGTCGCATCCACGTCTTTGCCCCAGACATCATGGCTGTCCGACATCGGGGAGTTCAACCCCGTCCCGCCCTCGCAAAACTTCCTGGGTGTCTCTGCCCCCGGCTCCGACTCGCTCCTCAGCTCAGGCTCGCTGTCCGATTCTGGGTCGCCCACACGTTCTCCCCATCGCGCACGGTCGCGGGAATACCTTCCTTCTTCCAGCATGTCTGCACAATCCTCGGGCTCGGGCTCCCTCTCGCGGCACAGCCCAGTCCCACCACCGGGTCGCACCCTCCACACCTCACGCTCCTTCTCAGCCACTAGCCCTCTGAAGACCTCCGCTTTCCCGGACCGCGATGCCAGCGGTCACCTCGACTTTAAGCGTCTCATGAGCAAGCCTGCCAAGCAGTCCGCTTCGGCGTCTTCCATGGTCTCCCTCCCCTCCGATTCTGAAGGCGCTGTCTCCGCGTCGTCCAGCCGCTTCGTGTCGTCGCGCAGACCGAGCGCGGCCGCGTCAGTACCTAATATGCCGCTGACCAGGAGTGCTAACCCCTCCCGCGAGAAGGTCTCACTACACGTCAACACAACCGGGCTCCGTTCAGATTCCGCGCTTCACGCGAGCCGCAGGCCCTCACCTGAACAGAGACCCGGTACAAGCGATGGCCAAGCAGCCAAGCCCGCTCGCAACGTCCTTCGGCGACGGCCAAGCTCTCGCTCAAATCCTGGTACGCCCACCGCAAACTCGTTCCAGGTTCCGAAGGAGGATACGCTTCCGCCTTTGCGCTCTCCTCCTTCAAATTCGCAGATGCGCTCGAGTAACGTCGGACGCTCCTCGTCTGCGCGCCCCTCCACTTCACCTGCTACTCGCGCTGCTACTCTACCACGCAAGATGTCACCGTCATCATCCTCAAAGGGCCAGCAAAGCCCCGCCGGTCTCACGCCTGCTGGCGCTGTCGCGCTGGCGTACAAACAGCAAGAGCAGCGCCGTGAAGAACTGGCGGAGACCGCGTCTTTCAACGATGCGTACAGGCCTTCGAACCAAAAGCCAGCA